TAAAAAAATGGGAAAATTTGTATTTGAAACTGATGGAATGATAATGTCTCAGATCAGATTTCTAGGATTATTGAAATATGTAAAATAATTGCCAGGGTTAGATTATGAGTTTTTATCTGAGAAGCTGCAACATAAGTATCATTTCACATCTGAATATGTTATTTACAAAATGGTAAATCAATCAAATATGTATAAAAAAAGGTGAGATTATGCATTATACAGATTGCATATTCAAGAGGATTGGGAAGTATGATAGAAGGCATTAAAGACTGTTCAATATATGAATGACAACAGAAGATCATTTTGATACCTGTAATTGATAAAATGTGGAATGATTGTTTCAGCAAAAATGTTTTTTTATGACTACTGATGAGTCTTTTTAGAAAAGTAATTGTTAAGATACGTTCATCTAATTATTGGAGATATGAATTGGTCCATATGATGTCATATATGGTTGTGCTTTCTTTTTGGATAATGATTTTTCAGATACTAACTTTTTTGAAGGAGTTATTGATATTTGTAGATGCCTATGTTTATGATAAATAAAATGACAAATGCAAATATAAACAAATGATCTTTTTAAAGATGGGAAGTCATCTGATTTTAATCAATGATACAGTGACCATCAGAACCAATACTCTTTTCTGTATTTAAATAAGCATTTTATTGTTTTAGGTTTTTTTTCCATTTAAATCAAAATGCAAAAATTTAAAAATACAATGTACAGATGATATACTCTGTACATATTAATTATCTACTGTAAAGTTCATGGGACTGTAAATCCCAATATCTCCCCAATCAGCATGGCTATTAGCAACATAATTTTAGGTTGCAGAAAAAACACTGGAACAATTGTTTTTGCTGTCTTTAAGTCTGTCTGAGTCTCAGCTAAGATTGCACAAGGTAAATATTTCGGGAATTTCATCTATTTTACTTCTACTTTTTCTACTTTTTTGTATCTATTTCAGAAGTAGCTTTTAGCATGCAAGGATTAAAACACATTATATTTTAATACTGAGTAGCACAAAAGCTTCAGAGCAAGATGTATATCACTGAATATCTTTCCCTGGATGAATTAAGCTATCTTTAATTCTGTTTTTAAATCACTTCAAGAAGATAGAATCTTCAAGATTTTATAAGTTTCTTTTAATTAAATAAATTCCTACTACCAATTTAATTTGAAAAAATACTTGCTATTAGTTTGTTAGTCCAGTAATCCTGTAGACCTCACATCTCTTCACTCTGTGGATTTTTGCCTATCACAGTTGTTTCTTTTCCCAAAATTTATGTTCATCTGTTCAAACAAATAGTTGATGTCCCATTTAGCAATAATTCACACTCCTTACATTTGCTTACTATTTTTTTTCTTAATCTCTAACAACAGTACTTTCTTTTTTTGAAAACATGTTTTGCAAGTAGTTGGACACTTTTCAGGGCTATGTGTATTGAGAATGTGATTTTTTTCTTTAAAAAGTCTGGGCCCCAAAATGCCTTATGGGAAATAAGGAAGCTGGAGTTATTGCTTGGTTTTATCATCTTCCTGCTCATTTTCATGAAGGAAAAGATAAATATAATTTTTGAAAGATTAAAAATAGCAAGTGAAGTTAGCCTCCTGGGCATAAAATGTGAATTAACAAACATTCCAGGATTTATAGAATACCTTATTGAGAAACTAACATTCTGATCATCAGAGCTTCATTTTGCTGCTTTTCTGGGACTAGAAAAATTAAATGCTATCTGGGTCTTGTCATACCTTCTTTGCTAGTGGCTTTTGCTTATTTACTAAGATATGTTGTAGAGGTCTATCCCATGTTCTCATTTCTTGGGTAATGTTATTAAATTAAATGAACTTTTTGTTAGTATTATTGCTATGGCTTATTTAAATAATATCTAAAATATGTTAATTGCCATACAAATTATAGTCGACTGTATTGACTGTCACTCGCTTAAAAATTACTGCAACACTAAATTGGGGTTCTTCAGCATGAAAGGTAACAGTAAAAGCGCTGTTTTGTCATTGATAAAATCCATTGTCCCCGATTTTCTTGTATTGCACATATTTCAAGTTATGTATCACTGAAGCCAATTGTCATTGGTCAATTGTCATGAAGTGCCAGGAATGGTTTCCTACCACCTGCTCCTGCATTATAGGGAATATAATTTGGAAATTGTGGCACATTCGTTTAATTCAGGGATCTGAGGCTGCTTTACAGATCTAGCTTTCTTCCCTTCCAGATGGCTATATGGACAGTCTATGAATTAAAGATTTGCCTTCATTCATTATACAGGAAGATAGTTATTTCCCATTCTCCTATCAGTTCAGATTTAAGAAGTGAGGGCTGCTGGTACGCAAAATGATTCCTAAGGAAAAGGACACTGTGTGCACTGGGTATATGGATCCTGGCAAAAGGATGAATAGATCGTGTGTGGTGGAGATAGGGCAACGAGTAGGAAAAAATAAAACTAAATGAGAAAGGTCTTGATCAGAGGTGAGATGCAGCCAGTTCGGGCTGGTTCGGAAAACTGGGTGTTAATTTTACATACAGTGTGGCAAACTGGTAGTTCCAATGACCAGTCTGGCAGCATCTCCTGCAGTGCCCCGTTTTTGCTCCCAAGAGGCTCCAGGGAGGCTTGCTAGGCTGAAAATGGGGCAAGGTGGGGGTACTTCTTCAAGTTGCTCAGAATGTAAGCTCTGCTTACCATTTCAGAGTGAGCAACCCATCCTTTGGAGGCATAATCAAGGGGGTGTGGTGACACATTTACCTTTGCCACAAGTAAGTGATCCAGCTCACTACTGTTCTCATTTTAAAGAAGGAGAAATGAGGCTCAAAAGTGCTCTCACGCAATGCAGCTACAATTCAACCACAAATCTCCAGATTCAATCCCAACTTATTGTTCCCTGGGCATAAACTTCCTAGTATGGCACCTAAAGTTGCCTTGGCAAATGAAGTCCTGCATTCATTCATTCATTCATTCATTCATTCATTCATTCATTCATTTATTTGATTTGTCAATCGCTTACAAAATAATAGGTATAAGTATATAAATAGTTATGAATACATGAAATGGGTACGTATAAGAAAAATAAAAGAAACAATAGGACAGGGACGGTAGGCACGTTGGTGCGCTTATGCACGCCCCCTACAGACCTCTTAGGAAAGGGGTGAGGTCAATAGTAGACAGTCTAAGGATAAAGTTTTTGGGGTTTGGGGAAGAAACCACAGAGTCAGGTAGAGTATTCCAGACATTGACCACTCTGTTCCTGAAGTTGTATTTCCTGCAATGCTTCCCCGAATAGCAGGGGATCTAAGCCACAGAACCACATCTGTGGGCTTCTGCTGTGGTGATTTGAGACTAAGTGTTTTGTTACTCTTGGAATTATTCTTAATTGCATCTTCTCCTCTTGTCATTCAGTTTCATGCACTGCTGATAAATATTCTTGCACTTCTACATTTATTAACAGTGATATATTTTATATTAGACATGTGGCCATGGCAACAGTTCTCTGGCAGCATTAAACACATTTATTTACTTCCATGATATTAGTTTACAAATTGTATCCTGGTCCTTTTCCTTCTTTCTATCTCCCCCCCCCCCCCCCCCACCCCTTCTAATTTAGCTTGGTAACCTTTGACTTTATTATAGCTGATGCCAAACAGAAAAATTAATCTAAATATGTTTATAAACACATCATAACAATGATTGTAATCTTCCTCAACATGCTAATGTAGTCACTCTGGATCCTAGTTTTCCTTTTCACTTCACCAGCATACATACATGGAAGGGAGAAAGAAAGGGAGTGGGGAAGGGAGAAAGAGAGAAGGGGAGGGAAAGTGAATGAGATATGGATGGACGGATGGAGGAAGGGAGAGAAAAAGGAGAGGAAGGAAGGACCACAAACCCTGGCACTAGATACAGCTTCAGAGGATGCTTTGAAACACCACAGCAATCCAAGGCTGGAAGGGACCTCGGAGATCATCTAGTCCAACCCCCTGCTCCAGGAGCATTGTTAAAGTGAGTTTCTCTCTTTTGACCCACCCAGTCACATAACCACCCCCACCCAGTCATATGACCACCCAGTTATATGACCACCTAGCCACACCCACCAAGCCACAGAACTGGTTGTTAAAAACCAATTGAATCCCACCCCTTCTTTTGATCGAATTATTTGTAGAGACACATCTTAGCTATAAGCCCTATTCAACCAAGAAATTATCTCACACTGTGGCAGTGAGCTCTCATTATTGTTGGAGATATTCCAGATTCTCTAAATCAGAACGGAAGTGGAATAACCCATGCTCAAGTTTATTCTGCAGTTTCAACTGGGCACCTACATATATAGCCTATTGTTACTTAGTACTGAATTCTATTCCTTTCTTTAAAATCATGTATTGTAATAGTCAGGTACAGTGAATGACTTCTATGCTTTCTCATTCCTTTGCATTTGCTTTGTATGGATTTATTTTCTTCCCCTATTCTTTTAAGATTACATTATTTCTTTGAAACAAAGTAAAAAATGATGAGAAATAAAAAAAGACAATTTCTGCTATGACAGAGGTTCCCAACCTTTTCTATACTCCGCACCCCTAGAATGCTTCTGATATATTCTCACATCCCTTAAAAATAAATAATTACATGTATGTAATTATACATATACACTATAATTTTGAAACTTCTAAACCCAAGATTTTGCACCCCCTAGAATCATTTTGCACCCCTGGTTGGGAACCCCTGTCCTATGGCTTGCTTTTTCTTAATAGAATTCATTCAATAGAGGTACAAACAAGCTGCTTAATTCCCACCTTCCCTTTGATAAATGTATTGTTTCCATTGTGATTTTCTGAGGGCTGTTATGTTAAAACATCCAAACATCCAAATAAAAACTGTACAAATCTTGATGACAGATGCCATTTTAGAACATTTGTTATTTTTTGTTTCTTTTGCTGATAAACTATGCAATTTTCTTTTGTATTAGAACGTCTTCTTTTTTGAAATTGCAGCTGCTACAGGTGACATGCCAACTTATCAAATCCGTACTCCAACCACAGCCTTACCTCAAGGAGTCGTCATGGCAGCTTCCCCAGGAACACTGCATAGCCCGCAGCAGCTAGCGGAAGAAGCAACACGTAAAAGAGAACTAAGGCTTATGAAAAATAGGTACCAATTAGAATTTAAATTAATAATTATTTATTTATTTCCCAGAATCAGTAAGGAAATAGTAATGCTAAAAAGACTAATGCAGTACTTTAACTTCTATACCATACTATACACATTTTCCACTCAGAAAGTCCATTGCATTAATAAGAATAAAAGATTCTCTCACACAGAAACAGAATTTAGTATCATACATAAAGTTACGTGTCCTAATACAGATAATTCTCACTTACTGCAGTAATTGAGACTGGGAACTCAATTGTTAAGGGACGGTAGTGGTGACCTCTAGTCGAAGTTCCAAACGTCCTGATTACTGTAGTTAGGTGAATCTTGCACAGCTGCAGTGTCCCATGGCCACATGATCACTATTTGTGACCACCTGCAAGTTCTCCATTGACTTTGCTTGTCAATGGAGAAGCTGGCAGGATTGGCACTGAATGTCACAAATGGCAGTCGTGACTATGGGACTCTGCTGTGGCTACCAACTATAAAGATTCACTGTAGGAATTCTTTATTCAGTGCTATCCATAACTTCAAACAATCACTGAATGAGTACATGTTAAATGGAGAAGGCCTATATTTTAAATAATGCTTTATACATCTAATTTTTATGTGCACATTCATGTGAGTGTTATTTGCTTAAACAGCAAATTCTGTTTTGATTCAGTTTTACCAAAGCCTGTGATTTTGTAAACTTAACAGAATAAGAGAAGGGTAAAGCTTTTTACAGATCTATATTTTATTGCAGAAAATAAATTCACTGTGGAATGTTCACTTGTATTTTGTAGTAGACTGATTTTTAAGAGTTTGGTTGCATTTCTCTCTTTAGATTGCTTTTCTCACCTTATTTATTAAATTTTGTATGTTGTCCAGGCTGAATTATCCTTTTGTTTATTTACTTCCTGTATGTATGTTAGTATTAATGTTGTACTCATTTTCCATTGCCAGTATTTGTGGATATTGTTGGCATGCACTTTACTGGAAGAAGCTGAACTCCTTGTAACTAACCCCACTATTGCTTAATGTTTTCATAGTATTGCTTTTTCTCATGCCTTTTAATTTCAAATTGCTAATCCAGAAACGTTTTAGTTTCCATCTCTTGTTCTTCTCTCTTCAGGTTGTCTAGTGTCTATTGTTAGTGGCAATTAAATAATATATGTCAGCTTATTTTGATTTTTCTGACATTAAATGCATATTATCAACTAGCCAACATTCTTGCTTAGCACTTGCCAGATACCTTTCTCATTGATGTAATTTTTTTGACTCTTAGACTGTATTTTCGTAAAATTTGTGTCAACGATCTTAGGGATTCTTTTAGATTAGTATTCCAGGAAAAGCACTGTGAGAAATAATCTTACCTATAATAATGTACAAGGAAAAAGCTATGTCCTTGTGAAAATTATAGCAGGGAGGACTCCAAAATAAAATTTGTAGCTTTGAGACGAATAAGTTCAGATGTGTTAATGTCATCATGGTATTTCATATTCGTTAAGGAATTTATATTGATTTTAAACATTTTTGTTCAATACTTTAAGAAAAAGTTCTACATGGCGGCCTCTACAAAGGTTTTAAAACAGTAACATATATGTAAAATATTATATAATTTAAAAAGATAACCAATGATGATGTTTGGTTCTTCATTTCCCACTCACAGGCTAGTGGTTTTAGAGAACTAAAAGGCCTGGAATGAGATTAATGAAACAACAGCAGGAACCATAAAAGTTTAAATAGTAGTTTAACTTCCCATTGATCCTTAATTATTAAACTTTAAAGCTTAAACTATAAATATTAATTCTTATTAATTCATATTGTATTCACTTTACATAATATTGGTTTGGATAAATAAAAATTGGGACAGTTAAAACATTATAAATTAGCTGAAAAGTTGAAAATTTCAAGCTGAAGAGAGAAGGTACCATGTTTTCTTTGCCAACAGTTAATTTCCTAACATTTTGCAGGTATACTTGGAGATGACTGAACTACTTGTTTTAAGCATGTGGGCTTAATATGGGCTATTATGCAAACAGATGATGTGGGGGTTGTAGATATTGAGCTGTTACTTTGATGCATGTTTTGTGATAGCTTCAGTTGGTTTTGTAAATCACTATTTCATTGATTTTAACAACAGCTTCCTCTCACTTCTGTGCTATGTGGTGTCTTCTGTCTGGTGTCTTCTGTCTGTCTGTTCTGCATTGTGTTCAGAGCACTGTGGAATTTATGCTGTGACTGGTGTATGGTGTACATGATTTGGCATTTACTGAGTCACTTCAGCTTTTCTGGTGTCAGAGGTTATTCTCGTTATCCAGGTTTTCTTTGCCTTGTAGCTGATTGAGTAGTCATTGCCTTGTGTTGGTTCCAGGGAAGCTGCTCGGGAATGTCGCAGGAAGAAGAAAGAATATGTCAAATGTCTTGAAAATCGTGTAGCAGTCCTTGAAAATCAAAACAAGACTCTCATTGAGGAACTCAAGGCCCTCAAAGATCTTTATTGCCATAAAGCAGAGTAACTGGCATTTGGCCGTGGAACTTTTTACTATGAACAGTAATCAAGGCATGAGATGAAGCAATTCTACAGATTGCCAAGTGACCCTTAAGAAAGGGGCAGTGTGTGGTCTTTGTGATCTTGGCTTTTCTTAGGTCTTTTTTCTAAAAGATGTGTGATTTCTAATCTTTGGAAAGCATCACTGTCTCCATATTGTATTGACCTTGGTCACTGCACCATCTCCATCCTATCTTATGTCAGTAGCATGTCACAAAAGCTTTTCTGTTTGCCCTTTTTACTTTTTTTTCAGGGAAGCTGCAAAAGAATGTCGACGAAGGAAGAAAGAATATGTGAAATGTCTGGAGAGTCGTGTTGCAATGTTAGAAGTTCAAAACAAGAAACTTATAGAAGAGCTAGAAACTTTAAAAGACATTTGCTCTTCCAAGACAGATTAGTGTCGATATTGAAACTGTGAACTGAGTACAGCATGTACAAATGCTTCTGCAGAAATGTGTAGTCAAAAGAATTATGACTTTTCCTTTCTATCATTTGTATTCTACTCCACCTCTAACATTCCTGAAACACTCTGCTGCTTTTTCTAGATTATTAAATGAAACTTCACCTCACTTTTTCTCACCCAGAAATAGTCAAATGTTTTCAAAACACAGTGTATCTTCCATATTTTTAGAGGAAGCATGTGTAAGAGCTGCTCCTCTACTTATATTTGCATTATTTTCTTTGTATGAGTGTCCCACTTGCACCAGTACTTTAAATTGATCAAAGATAATCTAACACAATAAAATGAAAACCACCCAAAGTATCTCAGGAAGATGTTATATAAACATGTGCGTTGTTACGACGTATGTGTATTAGAATACTAGTTTACAAATGAATTTATGGCATATTTTTGTATTCATTGCTTTGTGAAGAAAATATTGTATTGCTGTCACTGAGTGCCATGGTTGAAACTACTTTAAATAGAACCATGTTGCATAAACTTTGTAGTGTTTGGTATTTATTTAATCATCTATTCCATATTTTTAAAGAACAAAACTAATGGCATAATCTGTGAAATATTTTATTAGACAATTTACTGTCTTTTATATTTCACAAGCATTCTCTAAAATTGTCTCTGGAGATTCTCAGTCATCCAGGTCATGGTGTCTCCCCAAAGCACAACTGTAGCCTTTTTTCCCCAAAAGGCAACTGGACTTAACTGAAGAAGTTTTTTTGGATGAGAAGCAAAAATCAAAGTCCAGTTGCCTTTTGAAAGAAAGCATCTTTGAGATTCTCCAGAATTGTAGCTAACACTAATTTAAAAAAAAAAACATTTCAAGATTTTTCACACAAGTTTTATAAGCACTTCTTGTTGAGCTGAAATCTGATAATACTCAAATTTCAAAGAATTTTGTGTCCTCAGATGAAGTTAGATTGTACAAAATATTGATATCTTTGTGTGGTACTGCATGAGTTCATGAGCTAGTCACCCAATTGATCTTGTGAGATTCTACTTTTTAAATTTTACTAAAATTTACATATACCTTCCCCCCATTGTTTTGGCAATGGAGCTCAAGATGTTCCAACAGTTTATTATAATTTTATTTATATCTATCAGCCTGTATTGTGGCTATAGTATCTAATTTTTATTATTCTCAAAATACCCCTCAAAAGCTTCTTTTATTCTAGAAACCTTGCATTGTGTGCAGGTGTGAAGGACACCTTGGGAAGCTGTGGCTGGGAAAAGAAATTGTTGTGTATTCTGTCTTTATGTCAAAGTTTCAATGAAGGTAGGACTTCTGTTGCTTATGTTTTTGTTTTAGAACGGCTTCATGCTAGTATGTATTTAATGCAATACATATTTGACCAAAATATTTTCTTGATGTGGAGTCATAGTATGGAGTCTGTGTTGACACCAAGCAATTCTTCATGGATGTTACGAATGATTATAAGGGAGGATATCCTGTTCAGTGATATAATAATACTTCCTTTTACCATGATGTCATTCTTAGGCAGTTCTTAACCATTGTAGTCAGAACAGTTGCAATAAATCTGCCAACAAAACTACCCAATGGATTTTTATTGAGAATAAAGATAATAGGGCAGATCTAAAATGACAATCTATATTGAAATTTGTTCTTTCTTTAAAACAATAGTCCAATAAATAGCATTTTTTATGACACATAGGACAGAACAGTTTCTGTTGCTCTATGGTCCGTTTACTTTTCAGTGATAAATAGGATATGTGTGTAGGAGAGACAGAAAAAGAATATATACATGAATAACAATACCATATTTTCTTTTTATATGAATGGCTATTCATATAATGTCATTTTGAATGAGAAACTACATTCTTACAAAATGATTCATAAAAACTTGGAAAAAGGAATTAGACTCCTATACATTTCAAATCTGTTATTCAGTTACATATACTATTTCTGGTTGGTACATATATCTGGCAGCCTAGAAAGAAAACTGATATTTCAGTATATAGCTAGGCAAAATAACAGGCAGGAAAATAGTAATTAAATTACAATACAGGTAGTCTTCGACTTACAACAATCCATTTAGTGACCATTCGAAGTTACAACCACACTGAAAAAAGTGACATTTTTCACATTTATGACTGTTGCAGCATCCCAGTAATCACATGGTTTACATTCAGCTGCTTGACAACTGACTCACATTTATGATGGTTGCAATGTCCTGGGATCATGTGATCCCCTTTTGCAACCTTCTGACAAGCCAAGTCAGTAGGAAAACCAGATTCACTTAACAACCATATTACTAATTTAACAACTGCAATGATTCATTTAACAAACGTGGCAAGAAAAGTTGTAAAATGGGGCAAAACTCACTTAACAAATTTCTCACTTAACATAAATTTTGGGCTCAATTGTGGTCGTACGTTGAGGACTACCTGTACAATAACAATATACTATTGGAGAAAAAAAATTGCTTAGAAAATATATATATAGTAAAAGAGTTATAGATTTCAGAAGTCTGCATCTCTCTGTTTAATATTTATAGCTAGTAAAAATATTGGTTTAGTATTCATCATGTTGATAATTTTTATCTATACTTTTACCAACAGAATATATCCAGAAGTCACCAAACAACTACATTTTTCAAATTTTAGTAAAAAAAAAAAAAGGAAACAATATTTCCATTAAGGTTTTCCCTCTTTGTGGAATTGCTTGTGTCCAGATGCTCACATTTGCAACCTTGCAGGCTTCTTCTAAGGCTTGCTATTGATGGTTGTTTTGAGTTCTTAAGAAGTACTCTCTTCGAATGGGAAGACAGTAACTGATTTAAAATTTTCTGTGCTAGCTTCTAAATGTTATGTTTAACCTTATTTCTTTAATGAAAGGGATTAGGGTTAAATTGCCTTTATCTTTGTTATGTGGGGTGCTAGCTGATTCTCTTTCTTTCTATGGTTGTTTGATATTTATCTTCATCAGCATCAACCTAACCAACCAGTTTTTCCAAAATTCTCAACATACATTTTTGAATTTATTGTCTAAATGTATCACAGCCACTCAATTCCAGTGGACTGTAATGGCAAGGTAAAGTTATCAAATAGAACTATAGTGTTTTGAACCTGGCTGTCAACATGTATTCACCATTGCTCATCACACTTTTCAGGTCACAAATGATTAATGCACATGCTGTCATCAGGAAAGATGAATCAAGATTAATGGTGGTGGGAAGGAGGGGGAATTAAATCATGTTAAACTGCCTTTTGAAGTCTACTTAAAATAAAGTAGCAACAATGTAAGAAAGGAAGTGGTGTTACCTGTGCGGGGTTTTTCTGTCATTGAAATGACTTGTGTTAATGATTTTGATGTGGTTAACCTGAAAAAAAAAAAGATTAGGATATTGATGTCACTTCTGCATTTTGTTTTCAAGCAAACTGTTGTTCATTCAGTTTAGAGGGCAGTTCTTCTACAATCAAAAATGTAAAGAGCTATGGTGGCATATTTTGTAAGGTCTGACTTTGTAACATCAGGTTCATATTAGAGACAAAAAGATTGGCTGAATATATTACTATTAGTTCTGATAAATTTCTGATTGATGGACTATGTGCAAAGTAGGAGGGAGAGTCCATTCATTAAAAAAACAATACGAGTACTTTGAGACAGTGCTTCTTCAGAGTCTTTCACAACCTTTTATCCTTGAACTTTTTAGAACTATTTTCTTCCACATTCAAAAAACTTTGCAGTAAAATCCCAACAAATATATGGGCTGCATAAATATGCATATATGTCAGTTTCTCAATTATGTGCATCTGCCAAGTTTATTTTTCTTATTTTGAAAGTTTGTCAAATCCACATTATAAAATTTGCCTTAAAAAGGTTTGAGATGTCTTAAGATACTTTGGTCTATAGTTGGTTTTTTTTCCAGTTTGCCTAATACGCATTGTATACTTTTTGCATGTTATTTTCACAAGTGTCATTTTTTCCTACAGATTTTATCTAGTAAACGTTAAAAATAAAGGAGAATATTATGAGCTCAGGCTTGAAATGAGGGGTCCTTGGTGCTCTCTGAGCTTGGTTGTTTTCTTGCAGACATTTCATTACCCAACTAGGTAAGATCATCAGTGCTAGCAAGGAGTGGGGAGCTGACAGCAAATTCTACTCCTAAACTAGTATTGATGATGGCAAATCTACTTTGGATGATGAAACACCTGCAAGAAAACAGACAAGCTCAGAGACCACCAAGGACCCCATCCCGACACTTTTTAAAAAAATTGATACAGTTCAAAATTTAAATAGAGGTAGTCCTCAACTGTAATGAAACCTGTTAGTCATATGTTGCAATGGCCATTAAGTGAAGTATCTCAGTTAATGAACTCCCCATTTCCACTCACTCAAGTGCAATCATTAAATGAATATGTCTCTCGTCACGTGGAACACTTGGGTTGCCTCAGGGATGAACAAAGGCCCTTAGAGGCCCAAATGCAGGCCCAGACCAGGGCCTCATCACCCGAGGCTCTGTTTCTTGTTCCTCAGCCTCAGCCTGCTCCCAAGCCAGCCATTCCCTGTCAGGCAAGGCCACTCAGGGGAAATGACTGGCAGGCCTACCTCCTATCCAGCCATCCTCTAAGAGACTTGTAGAACTCAACCTGCTTCTCACTCAGCTCCAGGGCTCAGCGGCATCTAACTTACCCTTTTATTTCTTACAGAGAAGTCCAACTGATGTGATGTGAGACTCAGCTTTCTTTCAGGTCACAGTGACCTCTTGCTCTCCTAACTAGTAATAGTTCTCCTGGGATTAGAGGTCTCTTTTTAAAAAACAAAAACTCCACAAATTCAGCAAACAAAGGAAGTTCCCTATATCTCCCCTCTGCAGCTGAGTTAAATTTGTGACATTTCTCCCTAAGCTTCAATCATATATTGGGGGGGGGGGGGGATTTCTAAATCTATGCACAAGCAACACTACTTGCAGAAAATAATTGTGTTCTCCGCCTCAGCTTCCCCTTTATAAGCTCTGAATGACAAGAGCATGTCTCCTTCTCAATTCTGATCAGATTTGGGATGATATGCATAAGGAAGAGATCTTTTGTTCCATCGCTGGAAACTGGTTTTGCTGATGGAAAAATATCATTATTTTCTGCTGGTTTTTGTTTTTGTTTAATTACTGAATCAAGTTGTGGCAGTTTTTACTTCAATTATTTTCCTTTAGAATGATATTCATAACCAAAGTACTGTTACATAACTAGAAGTCAACTATATCCAATTTCTGTCGGAAATAGTAAAGTATCTTTTTTCAAAAATCATATTCTCATTTAACTCTGTTCTGGAGATACCAGCATGATATAATATCTTCATCTGGAAAAAGAATAAAGATGAATAACAATAGAGTAACCATAATAGAAGTGTGTAGTTAAACAACAGAGGTTAAATGTATTTTATTGAGATTTAAGCCAACTTCATTTGAAAATACACTGAAATTCATGCAAACCTTCAAGTTTTTAGAATAGACTTGTTGGCATTTTTCAGAATATGTTTAAAGATTGCATACTGAAGTCAAGTTTTTAAGGTGATGCTTTGATACATCTTTTATCTGTTCATAAATTATTAGGTGGAAGATAACTTGATTAATCACTCTAATCAGTTCTCTCATAATTTGAGAAAGGTAAGAGATAAGTTGAGAACCAGTCTTTCTCACAGTAGAAGTATCAGTCAACAACCAAGAGCCAGAACTCAAATTGATATAGGTAGAAGAGCGAAATCCCCACACTGATAGGGATAATCAACTGTTTAGTGTGCTACAATCTAATTTACAATGAAGATTCTTGTTTGACCGTGCTGCACTG